TAATCGTTATGTAACGACGTGTGGTGTTTTTTACCACACCTTCCACAACCGAAGCTAGAACCACAGTTTCGGGTTTCGTGGAAATCACTTAAACAATTCAAACATAAGCGCTGATTTTTGCAATAGTGATATCGTTCGGCCTGCGGTTTATTCAAAAAAGTAGGGCATTTAAAAAGTAAATGATTTTCTTTACACAATACACATTTATAATTAGCGTTTTTGTTGAGGGTCCGCGCGATGAACGTCGATTGTACGGGCGCAGCAGTAGAGCGTAAGCGAGATCTAGCGTTTGTGTTCGTAAAAGACGTTGGGGAATCCGTATACCGGTTGCCAGGGGCGTACGGCATTCTTTTACTTTTGGCAACAGCAGAATAATCGGCGGCTTCTAAAGCAATGCAATGTTGGTTCAGAAAAGTGACAACGGTTTCATAAGTTGGGATTTCGGTTGAGCCATGCTCCTTCTCGAAGGCTTTTAAAGTATCTGCGTCGAGCCTTTTGAGGATAAGATTCACCAGAATGAAATCCCAGGACTCCGTGGGAAAATTCATGTTCTTGAGACCAGCTAAGTTCTCGTTGAAGGTGTCTATCAATTTACGGAGGTTATGAGGATTATCAGAATTTAGTTTGGCACAATTTTCAATTTCCGACCAGTAAGAATTGGCTTGCAGACGTTTATTGGAATATCTTTTTAAAAGCGTAGCATAAGCGTTAGTATAATTGGCAGCAATCATAGGGAGACATTGTACTAAATGAAGCGGAGGGCCTTTCAAAGCTGAAAGCAGATAGTTGAATTTCTCAATATCTTGCAACGTATCGTTATGATGCACTAAGGCTTCATACATATCTCTAAACGTCGGAAAATCTCGATATTCACCGGAAAATTTAATTAATTCGATTTTTGGAAGTCTGAAATGTTGAGTTGTGGAGGTAGATCCGGGTAATGTAGAATTAGAGGGCGACTCTTCTTCGAATAATTCAGCATAAATTGCTTTGGAAAGGTAATATGAGTCATTGAAAGCTTCTTTTATTTCGTCTTCAGCATTTAAATCTGCTGCGCCATCACTCGACAGTAGATTAATTAAATTGGAATGTTGTTTCTGAAATTCGTTTCTGACTCTTTCAGCGTCTTCAAATCTTATTTTAAAAACAATCCTTTGCGATTTATCTGCTTTGGCGGCGGTGGCCAAACGAGTAAAAACCGTGATTTCATTCAAACAACTAGTGCGAAGGGCTTTGTAGCGACGTAATCTTTCCGCTTTATCAGCCATGTCCAAATGAGAAAAAACGAAAGGAAACATAAACTGGGACCAAGGCGCTAAAAACTAGTTTATACTAGCCAAGGTTTTTTCAGTAAATGACCGGTATTGATTAGGTCTCGACCTAGCGTTGTAAAAACTGAAAATTCCAGCGTTAGTAGCGCTGGACGGCACTAGAGTGGGGAGCTCACCATTCATTCGAAGGAAGTGATGGGCCTGCGCACTGAGACACATATGTGCCGGTAAAAGGAAGCGTACCTACCAAAGATGGCGGTTAAAATAATATAAATTATTTTCAATTCGCCGGCAAAGACTTTCAAGACAGTATATTCACCAATTTTGATGTAAATTTCAAAAAAGATACTGGAAAATGACCGATATCTTGAGCGTGATAATATTAACTGGGAATTCCCCAAAATTTATGCCAAAATTATGAAAAAAAATATAGTTTGTAATTTGGATTTTTTCACAAAAATTTTGGAAAAGACCAAAAGGGCCTTATCCGGCTCGAAGGACCAAAATTATGTACTTTTTCTACTTCGAAAACTCTACTTAGAAGAGAAAAAATGTATGTATCACCAAAGGCGCGTTAAAAGCGGTAAATGAAGTCTATAATCATCTATAATCATACCTAGATGCAAACCGGTGAGGTTTCGATTAACTTCTACTTCAAAGATCGAGCCCCTAAACAGCTTACCTAACTTCTTGAGAGTTGGTGATGATGGCCTGGTAGCTGGATGCCGGTAATGAATCTATGGGGGCCCCCTTCTGGACTAGGTTGGTGTCGTGGATTAATCCAATTCCGGAGGCACTCACAAATGAGCGAAAACTTCCTATATGCGCAACCCGTTTATTTTCTCCATCAAACAAAGAGAATAGAAAATTCGTCGCGAAAATCACTCTCGACGTATCGTAAACAATTTCGAGCGGAGTTCTAGCGAGACTGCTTGTGTCCAGTTCTTCGTGGGTCCTGCTTTGCTCGGCGAGGTTTTTCAGAACTCGATAAAAAACGTTAATGTTTATCACTCATTTCGAGCTGTTTAGGGCAATACCAGAAAAACGCGTTTATTTTGAATAAAATGGAACGGTATTGCATCTCGGATGATTCAAGGTTGAGGAAATCCCTCTATCTTGACGAAAATAGAAGTTCCCTAATTAATTAATTAATTATTTTAAGTGAAAACTTAACACCACTGGACATGATAATTTCGATATAGTTAGGGTTGAATTAGCCCTTTACGACCTTGAATAACACTGCCAAATTTCAATACAATCGGTTGAAGGGTTATTAGGATATTTACGAAAAAAACGATTTCTTTTAAAAGTTTTGACACCCTGTATCTTGAAAACGAAGCATTACCGGACCTATGTTTATATGAACTTTTCGTCTTAGAATCACTCAAAGAATCACCCCTTCAAGTTTGGCCACGTACTTGAATAACACCCTGTATAAGTAGATGAGAAAATCTAGGCACAGAAATACAGTTCGTGAAATCACCACATTTTCCAGTTGTATTTCAGAAGAGTCACTTCTCTTTCAGAAAGCATCAATTGTATTTTCGACTAGTCAATTTAATTCCATGAAGCGTCAATTGGTGTAGAAGGTGTTGAAACTACTTCACTTAATAAGAGATATGTGGATATTCTTTTTGATGTCCAAGACACGAAAGATTCGAAGAGTTTTTTCAATTTGCAATGGCTACTGCATAAAACATCAGTCATAGTCTTCTTCGCAACCCTGGAGATTGAATAGTGATGGCTGTAACATGGAATATATTGGACAAGCACGTCAAAGCATTGGCACAAGATTTAAAGAACATATTGCCAATTTCAGATATACAATGTTTGATAAATCAAGTATTGTCCAACATAACCTTGAGACTACTCACTCTATCACTTGAGATAATTTGAGACTTTATAAATATGTAACAAACAATAGAGAAATTAACAGTTTGAGAAGTACTCATTTATATTTATCGTAAGAGAGATTTTTTCATGAATCAAGACTCAGGACGAGTCCTTAGTTCTGAACTCTTTGACTTTATTTAACACGATGTTCATTGAACCGAAACCTCTCTCTAAACCGTGAAATAATTCGGTATTATTTTTTATGTTCTGGTTCCCACGAACAGGAATATCCTTTAATGTTCAAAGAACATCGTGAAAACCAAGAAAAATGAGGTAGAAATTGGCGTTCTTCTCAAATTTCTGGAGGTTATATGTCTCAGGGAATACCTCCCTTGGCAATGTGTTCCAGAGCCTCGCTGTTCGTTGAATAAACGAGTCTTTGGAAAGAGATTTTCTGCAGGTCTTCAAAGTGACCACGGAGGGATGCGAAGCCTCAACTCGACGGGTTGATCTCGCGGGGACTGCCAAGGGAGGAACAATTGTTGATATTTCAGAAGAGCATCGTCCATGAAAATATCTATAAAATAGAGCAAGATCGCCAACTGGTCTATGGTGTTCCAGAGAAGTGAGTGAGTTTCTGAGCGAGGCATCACCCACGAGACGAATTGCCCTTTTTTGGACAGAATCCAACAGTTTCAGGGTATGTTTGGGTGGTGCACTCCAAATATGGAAACATCATTCAAGGACAGGCCGGATCTGTGCCTTATAGATCATAAGCAGCCGACTGGAAGTGAAATAGCTCCTGGCCCAAGTGCTGATAGTAATACCAAGAATCGAAATGGATGTCTTCAAAGGTATGGTTACTCCTGACAAGCCTATGTTGGGCACAGTGAGATCGGCTTTCCTAGAGAAAACGCATGCTTGTGTTTTGTTTGCATTGAAATCTACCAAGTTATTGGATCCCCATTCGAGAATTGTTGCCAAGTCTATATTTATGTTGTCAACATTTCTTCCTCGTTCGTTTCGGATTTGCCTGGCTGGTATTGGAGCCTTGGCAGAGAAGGCGGTATAGAGGGTACTAACCAACAAACTGTTGATATGGAGTAGGAATAGTGTTGGTGCTAGAATGTATCCTCGCGGAACACTAGAATATATGATGAGAGAGTCAGATTAAACTCCGTCGATCACTACATGGAGAGACCTGTTTGAGAGAAAACTAGTTAGCAGAGAAACATAGCTGGGAAGGCAAGCCATAAGATGGAAGCTTGGCGAGGAGTCGTTACGAGGAGTCTGTGGTGCCAGACTCGATCGAATGCCTTGGAGATATCAAGTGCCACGGCTTAGGTTCCATCATATTTTTCAATAGATTGTTGCCATATATGTGAGACGTAAGCGAGCAGGTCACCAGTTGATCTCTGATGACGGCAGCTATATTGCCAATCGTTGATAATACCTGAATGTTCCAGGTATTTCATATTATCGATGTTGATAGCTTTCTCCATGATCTTTGAAATAATAGATAGCAGTGCGATCGGTCTGTAGTTGCTAGGCAGGGTCTTTTTGCCTTTTTCTGGAACTGGTTGTTCTCTTGCAATTTTCCAGTTGTACGGGCATATCCCCAATTTGTAAGAGTAGTTGAGCAACTTGCAGAGAACAGGTGTTAGTTCGGAAGCACATTTCTTAAGGATAATCGGTGGAATTCCGTCGGAGCCACAAGCTTTGTTGGTGTTGAGAACCAATGAATAAATATGATTCCCCAAATTCTTGCTCACTCTAATGACTCTATAGTCAATAACAACCGAGAAACCTGACAGTATCAACCAAAATGGGAATGCTATATACAGTTAGTGTACATATCTCGAGAATAATTATGTATCATACTAGTATTGCACATACCTAGCTCGTCGCTGTCTGAATCGTAATGCTCCCTGGCCGACTCATTGTGGCCATCGATGGCGTTGCCGGCATTGCCGATGCTGATCTCGAAGTAGACCGGCTTGTCTCCCAGCTTCTTGTCGATCATGGAGGCCTCAAAGATGGCGGCGAAAAGGAAGAACTCCTCGTTTTTGGCGTAGGAGGCCTCGTTGACTGGCACGGTCGGTTCGAGTTCCACCGCTGCAGGCGCTAGGTCTATGTTGTCGGTGATCTCGGTACGGACAGAGACCAGAAGACGAGCTCGATAAGAGACACCTAGAAAGTATGTACAGGGTGATCCACCATAAATGTCCCCTCCTCTAGCTCAGCTATTTTCAAACCGATTTCAAAATTTGAAATATCATCTTGAATGATTTTCGATGAAGTTTTTTTCCGCTACATCAGAAAATACAGGGTGCTCGGAACAAACGATTTACAGGGTAGTATTTGATTTTTCTATATGGAACACCCTATTTTTCATTGTATTTTTAGATTCTCCCTGAAGAGCTGATTTGGTCAATGTATCACACTTGGGGTCTAGCGGGAATGATTACAGAGATATAGGGTGTTCAAAATCGAGATTTTTCAACTTTAGTATTTTTTTGACACGAAACTATTCATCATCGGTCAAAACGGCTTTCATGTCCATATCTTAACTTCTGATTAACTATCTACTGAAATTTAATAATTAGAACAGATACAGGGTGATCAGAATTCTGAATCTTGAACCACCCTGTACATTTTCCAATTAAATGTCAGTAGACAGTCCATCAGAAGTTAAGATGAGAACATATATAGGAGCCGTTTCGACCAATAATGAATAGTGTCGAGACAAAAAAATCCTAAACTACTTATCTCGATTTTGAACACCTAATGAAATCAGTTCTTCAGGAAGAATCTGAAAATACAATGAAATACAGGGTGTTCTATTTGAAAAATCAAGTAGTAGTTCCTGATGCAACGGGAAAAAAAAATTCTGAAAAATCATGTCAGGTTATTTTTAAAATTTTTAAATCGGTTCAAAAATAAGTGAGCTAGAGGGGGGGACATTTATGGTGAATCACCCTGTACATGGTAGCCGAATTGCACACTTTTGAAGGGAGATTCCTGTTCCCGTACTGGATAGAGAAAAACTGATATCGGTGCCTGTTGATCAATTTCTATCTTCGTTTCAGAGTTACAAGGTGTTTTTCGAATATATGAATTTTCAAAAAGTGGCTGAAGCTTATTTTTTGTCAGAAATTCTCCATTTCCAATGATTTTTGGAAGTTCCAAGCTCATTAAGATCAGAGTTTATACAAGGATACTTGTCATATACATTTCAGTTTTCATTTCAATACTGAACATATTGGTAAGTTATATTTTTTCATATTATTTTATCCGATTTGAGAGATGATGTCAATTCTCAATTTCAGAGGATTTTCATTTTTCATGCTCTCTTAGTAAAGTAGCAATGATATTATGTTCATTTCTTTATATGAAGGAGAATGCAAATTCTCTGCTTCAGGAGATTTTGTTTTCGAATTCTTATTGTGTGTGTTCAATAGATGTAATTCAATGTTCGTCGTGGCATACAGCCAGGAAAGTAATTGTTTTCTGTTGAATAAACCCAGAAAGAATTGATATTTTCCTACGACCACTTATGAAAACAGCACAAAACACATTGATTTGTTATTGAGAAACTAACTCGTTTCACTATGACAACATATAACAGTTAGAATGTTCGAAAGTAAAACTCACATGGGTGGAAATATTCGAAAATCGCACAGTTACAGGGTCTATAGATTATGATGTACCAATGGATGATTATTATGCTGAATTATGGTAAGTTAAGTTATGGTCAAGTTGATGGAAAGTTAGTGTCGATTTAACATGAGTTATTGTCGTGTTGACGTAATGTTAAGTTGATGAAAAGTTGAAATGAAGTAAATTTCAATTGAAAGTTGAATTAATGTCAATGTATTGGCAATTTAGTGATAATTGTGAAGGTAATGTCAATTTGATATTGAGTTGATGTTAATTTGATTTCAAGGTAATGTCAAGTTAATTTTGAGTTAATGTTGATTTAATGTTGAGTTAAAGTTGAATAATTATTGAGTTATTGTTAAGTTGATGTTAAGTCAATGTTAGGTCAATTTTAAGTTAATGTTGAGTTGATGTTGAGTTAATGTTAAGTTAATTCCAAGTTAATGTTGAGAAACTGTTAAATTTATGTTAAGTTGATGTTGAGTGGATGTAAAATTGATGTGAAGTTAATGTTGAGTTAATGTTAAGTTCATATTGAGTTAATGTTAAGTTGACGTTAAACTTATGATGCCATTTGAATATTGAAGTGAAATTGAATAATAATGATAATGATATCACCTACATGTGATCGAATATGATAAGAAACATGATCCCTACTCTGGTCTTATAAACACTCATGACATATAATATAAATATTTGTGGTCGTAAGTAAAATAGTGCACAAAACTCGTTGGAAAGTGCATTTCGAAATATGTCACTTTCCACACTAGTTATGTAATATACTATTTCATCACAAAGAGAATGCGAATTCTCAATGTATTTCTTCATATATATATCAATTTTTTATGTTCATAACTGAATCTGAGAATATTCCTTTTCGATAAGGTTCAACCAGTTATACTGATAATATACCTTCGTGATACATACAAGACACACACTGTTCTCTGAACTAAAAACACCGCAGTATGCTATGAGGAAGCATATCCTAAATGGCGTAATCCAGAAAGTCATCTTTGATTGATCGTTCCATCTCCTTAGGATACATGAGTAATGATCCAGGTCATGTTAGTGATCAGTCACCTACCAACGGGTGTTGAAGCAAGATTATTGATTACAATTGGGACTGATAATACTTGGCGTCGCTGTCTGAACAGAAATATTCTCAGCTGTTTCTTAACGTTGAATGCTTTGTATCTCTGTGATGTTTGCTGAGATACACCCCTCTCTAGATAAATAATTCTGAATTTCGATACATGAAGAGATAAAACGTGCTACGAATATTCATGGAATGTTTATGAATCCCCATTCCTTGACTCCGTGACTATAAATAGATTCCTTGTTCTCTTTTGTTCCGTTCCAGCTTATTGGAGTCGTCTGTCATAAATTGGACATATTTTTAGGGAACTCGTTCCACTGGAATGTGAAATATGAATACAAACTGGGTTGGTTCAGTCAATTCAAAATTGAATTCTTGTTCGATTCCTTTCACACGTTTGAAGAGCGCATATATCCGAGAGGAATGATAATATGACAGCATTAAAAGTGTATTTTACGCCCTTGATACATAAACAACTATTATGAGGTGACGTATTTGATTTCCTTAACTTACGGCTACTTGGAATCGATAATACATGATTGATGATTGATGATTGATTGACTGAGAATTGCAACTCCGAACTTCTATTGCCAAAAAGTCCGGTTATTGAAGATAACAAACATGAAATGGTTCAATGTATGTATATTCGAGTTAACTGTTCGTCAAAGTTTTTTTTGAAGAGGTACACCCTGTATCAACTCACCTTCTCCTAATCCTGCATTAAGACTAGAGTGCTCATCTATGATGCTGTAATCTCTTGTTGATCCATACAAATGGATAAATGAAGGGCCGAATGTCGGTAGAAAACCTGCAGACATTTGAAAGAAAGTCTGATAATAACATATGAACATCAAGATAATAACGCCAAATCAGCCGTTGGTGTAATGAATGCGGTTATTCAACAACCTATGAATTGCCAACTTCAATCCACTGTTCTTCCACTAGTCAACACGAGTTTTGCTATGTTGGCATTTTCCGTTCAGTTTGAGATCAAAACTGTTTTGATCTTCAGTAAATGTTTACAAAGTGTGCAAAAACCTTGTTGAGGCTTCAAAGAATCGCTGCGACTAGTAGTGAAATAGTGGTGGTGTGAGTTTTGTGCAGAAGGTCTCATTGATCGATATTGTAACTGAAATTAACACTGCCCATTGTATGAGTGAGTGCTAAAGGGTGATTGATTTTGGTTGTTTTCTTTGTTGACATCAGGGAAAATCAAGAAGCTGTCAATAAGAACGTGTTTTTAGGACATCCCGGGTTAGTTTGCAGCGACATACTTACGAAATTGATCGCTAAACCACCGCTCAAGGTCAATGCCTTGTGCCAAAGATAAGCCCAGAGCTACCGACGAATCACCAATTTTTTGTCTTCTGCCACACTTGGATTTTTGGATTGATCATATATTCCAAGTATTGTTATTTTTGTAGAAAAATTGAACCATTCCGAAAGTTTGACTGGTCTGCAGTAATTAGCCGTGAGTGTGTCGTCGAAAAATAACAGCCGATAAGTTGAAAACACGGATTTATTGACAGCTGTACATTGATTCAAAAATCAAATTGAATTTTTCTCTACATGTGTTTTTTTGGTTAATCTTTCTGATATTCAAGTATACTGAGGTTTGTCTAGTTCAATGTGGTGAAACATCTGATGCTCCTTGTCCCATATTCCTTTCGAAACTGATTGATTGGTGCAAAATATCGTTATCGACCCGTCTTTCGCTAACTATCTAGACATATTCATGAGAGGGTTAAAACTGAATATGTTTAGCCTTATCACAAGCTGGTGATTCGTCAAATTCGTCATCAGAATGCGGTTAGGTTGGAGCAGACACTTATGAGTTGCGTGCAAGATCTGTCAGATGATCGACCCTAGAGGTAAAACATTTTTCTTACTTGTTTTCAAAGGATCGAAATAGTTTTTCACGATTATTTTGGTAAACGAGGGCTGAAAGACTTCGGTCAATGGCCTTTTGGGGTATATCCCTAATAAAGATGTTCTTTCTCTCTTGGTAAACGAATCGTGTTTTTTGGCTATTCATTGATTCAAGCATGCCATCACATTATGCTGCTGTAAGTACGATGCACAACAAAAAGGAACGAGAGACGAAGGAATCCGATTTTTCAGGTAGGTACAATTTGATTTGAACGTACTATAGTCTCTCAAATATAGTTTTCATTTTGAAATTCTGTCATTCCCCATTGGAATTCTATCTGCAATAGAAGCTAATAGAAATACTCGTGAAGTTCCTGAAAGAATAAGGCAAGAAGATTGGATTCATGGAATCAAACGAGATGACTGGACTGACATGGTGACGAAGTATGATCGTGTGTGTATAAGTGGTATTTAGCTTCAGTAGTGGCAGAAGAGATGAGAATTATGTGAGATCACCTGAAAATCATATTCCTTGGCATGTCGCTGCATTTTTTGTGCCTTGTACAACAGCACAATGTGATGGCATGCTTGAATTGATGAGTAGCTCAAAAAACATTATTCGTATGCCAGAATATTGAGAAAAACTATTTCAATCCATGGATTCTAGCAAAAGTGAGGTTGTGTTTCAATGATTTACTGAGGATTGGAGTTGTGTTTCAATGTTTCAATGAATCAGGACAACTTAGTGATTGATGTCTTATTTGATGAACGGTTATCGTGGAGTTAAAAAATGTATTAGAGTGTGCGAAATGTGTCTTCAATTCCACGACTCAGAATTCAACAATAGTATATTGTTTAACGAGCACGGAATGATTACGTAACAGAAATCAGTGTCGTAATGTTCCACATCAC